TGTGGCCTGTCAAATGAAGTTAGGTGGATCAAAATGTTTTGGATTTTGGAACATTTCAGATTTCAGATTAGAGGTGCTCAGCTCATTTTTGTACAAAGATTGAATAGCATTTTTGGAAAAATTTTGGTAAGGTCTGAGATGTAATGGTCTAAGAAGCTTTCTCTTGGAGACCCTTTGACAAATCAGCTATTGGATGCAATAAAACCTCCATAAACATATTGTTTTCTTCAGGATAACTCGTTCTTCAGTTGCTAATGCTTACCTTTTTTTAAAAAAAGAACTTAAAAATATGACTTTTTCCCCCTGATGATTCTTTGTATTGTAAACTGTAAGGTTTTGTATGGGCAGAGGTGAAGATGACTTAAAGTTGCTCTGTCCTCTGTGTATTTCATGCTTCTAAAGTGTATTAAGCAGTCATAGATAGTCATAGCATTTTACAAACCATGCTGATACCTTTTTTTACACTTTAATTATCAGGGAGCAGGTGTAAGATAACTAAAACCAAATATTAAAAGCTATCTTCCATTTCTTCTTTATATGTCTGACAACTGAACTTTATATAGTTTTTTAGCTAAATTAATTTTTTCCTGTGCTTAAGTTTACTGTTATATAAAGTTATTTCCATATTTGCTTGGAATCGTAGCACAATATAGTCTAGCCAAAAGACTTTTATGAAGTTTGAGCTAAATGTAATTGTTGGCAATAAATGGAAACTAACAACTTTGAAGTTTTAAAATCTCCGGTGGTTTGGGAGTAGTAAATGAATGACTTAACTGGATGAGGTGAGGTAATTCCCAGATACAGGGTACTAATAATACTAAATGTACCTTGATGACTAATTAAACAGTTTCTGAGCATAAGTATTAAGCTGTTACACCAATTTGGAAATTGAATATCCATGGAGAGCAGTCAGTATAAAGCTAATAGAATTATCTTAGCCAGTCATGTTAATTTGTATGACTAATTTTTAAAAAGCACTGTATTAATTTGAAATTCTATGCTCTTATGTTTTTTGGATGTGTATTTAAATCCACCTATAATTGGAATGTCTAATATGAATATTCTTAGAACATGCTGAAGTGTAGTACAAGGAACCTCATGGAATTAATTGTTCATTCCTTGTTGGGAAGGGAACTTTTTAGTGGGTGCAGTTGAGAAAACATCTCATGTCTAGCTCCTGGGATGACTGTCAGCATCAGTTCTTCATCCTAATTGCTTGTTAGAATCATTTGGGGACTTTAAAGACCAAAGGTCTGAGACTACTTAAATTGGAGTTTAGGGCTAGGACACTGGCAATGCCACTGGCATATTTTAAAAGCTCCATGGGTAATTTTAAGTTTAGTCTTGGTTGAAAGCCTCTGATTTAAAAAGACATGCACCCGGAATATTTGAAGTGGGAAAAGGCGAGTGCAAATTATTGTCTCCTCTCCTTGGTTGTGCTGTAAAATTTATGAGGGTGGAAATTTTGTCTTAAAAATCATTCTTGCTCCTTTTGCCTACCACCTTTCTAAGGTTTAGGCTCAGAAACTACTACTTTGGTTTTGGGGTTTGGGGAAGGGATTCTTATATTTTATATCCAGAAAAATTGATGATGAGGATTGTTTTTTCCATTGAGATAATGTTTTTACTAATTGGGTGCTTTGTTTTCATAATAGCCTTATTGATATATAAATCACATACCATATAGTTCAACTATTTCAAGTTTACAATTTAGTGGTTTTTAGTATATACATAGTTGTACAACTGTCACTAGTCAATTCTAGAAGATTTTCATCACTTCAGAAAGAAATCCTGTACCTGTTGGTGGTCACTCCCTGTTTTTCCACAACTTGTCCATGCTTAGGAAACCATTAATCTATTTTCTAAATCTGTAGATTTGCCTATTCTGGACATTTCATGTAAGTGTAATCATTTAATTGTCTTTCGTGGCTGGCTTTTTTCACTAAACATGATGTTTTCGAGGTTTATCCATGTTGCAGTGTATATTAATACTTCATTTCTTCTTACGGTTGAATAATATTTCATTGTATAGCCAATGCCACATTTTGTTCATCCATTTATCAGTTGATAGATATTTGGGTTATTTCTACCTTTTGGCTACTATGAATAGTGTTGCTTATGAACAGTGGGGTTGAGGTTTTTGTGTGGGCATGTTTTCAGTTCTCTTGGTGTACATGGAGCAAAATTGCTGGGTCAGTGTACTTGGATACTTTCTTCACCTCATTTGAACTTTAGGGTTAGAAAATCTTCCTGTAGAGTTGAAGAACACCTCAAGTTCCATGTTCTAATAATATCACTGTGTAGGACAGAGGTCCTGTGTATGTTATTTGATCTGGCATTTCTCAAAAGGCAGACTTCCCACTTAAAAAGAAGGAACAGCTGTTGTTCTTGTTTTATTTCCAGGAGGGGTCCACAAAGTCTCTTATTAAAGTTGGAAGGAATTTAAAGAAGATTTTAAAATCTCCTCTGTAATCCCTTAGTCAATAGAGGAGAGCAAAATGATTGAACTTCATAGTATCTGTAAAATAATAATTGTAATCAGAATGAACATTTGTTGACTGCTCATTCAATACCAGATTGTGCGTGGCCAAGGGTTTATGTATATATTATTTGATTTAAACTTCATAATAACTTTTAGCAATGACTGCCATTTTACTACTGAGAGAGAAATGCATACATAGAGTTTAAATAACTTGCATCAGCTCAAAAAAGCTGGGTGGCCCTGCTGGGTAGGAAGAGTGCCTCTTTTATCTGCTATACCATGCTGCCTACTTCACCAGTACTTGATGACACTTCTAGAAGACATATTGTGCCATAGAACTTAACTTTGATTTATTACCTATTTGAGGACAATGAGTTCTTTATAAATGATATTAACAGTTTACATGGATTTACTTTTCAATTGAAGAAGAATAAAAACTTTTATAAAATGCTGAAGAAATAAGTGATTTTAAAGGAGGCTTATTCAATTTTAGATCCATCTCATGTTCCTAAGGCATATGCCTGCAATGCCATCCTCCTCCCCCATTTTACTTTGACTAAGGTAAAGATGGATAGGTATGAAATGCTACTTTTCCAGAAATACTATACTTTGACTTTTTTTTTTGCATATTCTGATCATAAGGCGCTGAGATTGTACCTGTTAGTTTTGAAATCAGATGTTAGGCATTGAAGTGGATGTTTCAAGAGTTGTTGTCATCGAAAATTATGTGTTCTGGTGATTTTTATTGTTTCTAACACTTACAAAATATTCTAGGTATGATTTTTATGTCAGCATTTTGCATTTGACAGTATTTTTCTCCATGGTGCCATTTCTGCATACCATGTTTTCCCACCCCACATTTAATATCTGAGAAAAAATAATATTTGGGGGCTGTGGCTGTACTCAGTGGTAGAGCGCTTGCCTAGCACATGCAAGGCGCTGGATTTGATCCTCAGCACCACATAAAAATAAGTAAATAAAATAAAGATATGTGTCTAACTACAACTAAAAAATAGTTTAAAGAAAAAGAAAGAATAATATTTGTATTATCACATTGTCTTCCTTGTCATAAGGTGCTTTTAAATACATAATTTTGTACTACACATTGCAGAGTATCATTTGGGTATAGATTTCCTGAAACTACCTAGTTCTGGTTTCTTATAGAAATCACTTGATGGAATCAATTTCAGAGAGAGAGAGAGAGAGAGAGAGAGAGAGAAAGAGAGAAGGAGGTGGTGGTAGTAGTGGTAGGGGAGAAGCTGACAGACCCAGAGAAATTAACACAGCTTTAGTAATTATTCCTAAGGCTTTGATCTCATAATTGCAGATCACTTTAAAATGTGAGGTGATTAGATTGTGGGGATGTAGACTCTGTTCCTAGAGATGATATTGTGCTTATGGGATTCTGCATTACACCCTTGCTTCTTCTCATCCCTTTTCTGAGCTGGGGCTTTCTCTGCTGTCCTGTATCAGTATACATGCTCCAGAATTTTGTTGAAATGTTTCCTCTGTTAATTGTTGTCTCTTTTCTGTTCTTTCGTGAATTTTTATATTTTAATTTTTCCCTTAATTTAGAGTGATCTGAGAAGATACCAACTTTGTTCCATGTACATATTTAATAGTAAAGCACTCATTTCTCTTAATTTTATTTTATCTTTTAACGTCTCAAATTAAAAATTGTGTCATTGATTTCCTTTTCCTTTTATGAATTTTATGCCAGAATTAGGATGTAGTAGTTTGAGGGGATTTTATATTTGGTTCTAACTGTGATATATTAATTGGATGACATATTATCCACTTACTAAAAACAGACTGTACATATAAAATACAGAAGTGCATTGTTTTGGGTACAGGGATTGAACTCAGGGGCACTCGACCACTGAACTACATCCTCAGCCCTTTTTCATATTTTATTTAGAGACAGGGTCTCATTGAGTTGCTTAGGGCCTTGATAAGTTGCTGAGGCTGGCTTTGAACTCACCATCCTCCTGTCTCAGCTTTCCGTGTTACTGGGATTACAGGCATGTGCCATCATGCCCAGCTTAGAAGTGCATTTTTGAGATATAAATGATGAACATGGGCTGCTTGCTGCCAGTCCAAAATCGATACAGAAACAATACAATAGCAGAAGCCATTTTCAGAAATTAGACAGGAGTATTCCCATACTGTGAAAATCAAGCCTTCTTTGAGATGGGTGAAGTTGTTATAAAAGATAGTAGATTGGGCTGGATTTATGGCTCAGTGGTAGAGCGCTTGCCTAGCTTAGGTTCCATTCTCAGCACAGCATATAAATAAATGAATAGAATAAAGGTCCATCAACATATATATCAATATTTAAAAAAAGATAATATTTAGGACTAACCTGGAAAACTCACCAGGTGCAAGATAAATTCTTACTAATTCTGTGTTACAGTAGTTGAGATATAAGGAGCTCTAGTGTGTTTTGTTTTGAGGCACAGAGATGATACTATTTTGACTATTATTTAAATGTGTGTCTATGTATCTCCCCCTTCCTCAGATAAACAGGGGTCACATGACGACGGAAGCTAAGAGAGCTGCAAAAATGGAAAAGAAGATGAAAATTTTGCTTGGAGGTTACCAGTCTCGTGCTATGGGGCTCATGAAACAGTTGAATGACTTGTGGGACCAAATTGAGCAGGCTCACTTAGAGTTACGCACTTTTGAAGAACTCAAAAAACATGAAGATTCTGCTATTCCCCGGAGGCTAGAGGTAATATTTCGTTTTGCCTCAAAACATTGCTTAGAAGGACAACTGAAAAGAATTATCAGAGCTTTCCTTTTTCTTTCTCTTATGCAGGGTATCTGAAGTTGGTATTGTCAGGTCTTTTTCTTTCTTTCTTTTTTTTTTTTTTTAAATTTATGTGTTCTCAGATTTTTATTGGTTCATTATAGTTGTACATAATGGTGGAGTTTGTTGTTAGATTTTCATTCATGCACTCAAGATAACAATATAATTTGGCCAGATAACAATATAAAAAGGCAGGCCTTTTTCAAGAGGAGTCTCCCCTTTTTGACTTTTTATTTTAGACCTGCGTATGTGTAGATGGCTAGACCAGGAAAATGATGGCTCCAAGGACATTCTTATTTTTCTCTCTTATGTATTGACACACTGTGAAATGGAAAAACTCTTTTTTAGTGTTTTTATTGTTCATTATAATTGTATAGAATAGTGTGATTCATTGTGACACATTCATACATACATATAATTTGCTCAATACCACCCTCAGTGCTTCCCGTATCCCTCCTCTGATCCCCTTTCTTGATCTTACTGTTCTTCTTTCTATTTTCATGAGATCTCCTTTTTGTTCCTTTTTTCTCTTTAGCTTCTGCACACAAGAGAAAATATGGAATAACTGATTCTTGTGATTCGTCCCCCTACAGTTTAATTGCATCCCATTTGCTCTATGAGGAGCAGCTAAAGCAGTGCCCTTTTGTTTTATAACTTGGGATGCTGGGAACCTAGCTAGTTATTCCAGAACATCAAATGGCCAGGTGTGGTTTAGATTTATCTCCTAAGTGTGCATGACAGTTCCTGCCCAGTTAAAAGGACAGTCAGGGCTTATTTTAGTGCATTTATGGTTATCGATATGTCAGTACTGGCTTGTTTATTCCAGGTTGCAGATATTTTACAAGGTGGTGATCATAAAACCAAAGCAAAGTATGGCTATAGTACTGGTTTTACAGCGAAAGTATTTGCTCTGTTTGTTTCTCTTTGGGGAATGTGTGCCTCCCAGCTGTTGCTAAGATGACAAAGTAGCATCAGATATCTTTAATTTTCAGTGTACTTACACATAAAATAATTATTTAATGTTTTTATTTCTTCAAGTGCCTAAAAGAAGATGTGCAGCGACAACAGGACAGAGAGAAAGAGCTTCAGCATAGATATGCTGATTTACTGCTGGAGAAGGAGACTTTACAGTCAAAATTCTGAAGCACAGTTTATATTCTGTCACAGGACAAATTAATTGCTGGTTTTCATACTCTGCAAAGCTGAAATTGATGTTTATCTTCATTGACAAATTTACCCACCATCTGTGGTTTTTTGGTTGTTTATTTTAAATGATATCGATCTTACATTCTATGTTAAAGACTTTTAATGCACCAGGACGGATAAGGGTTTAAATTATTAAGATGATGATTCTTTTATCAGTGTCATGTTCGAAAGAATTTTTAGTTTTGGCCTTTTAATTTAAAAAGTCTGACTCTAAATTGCTGCCTGTGAGTAAACCCTTGAATAAAAATAAAATATAAAAATTTGAGAATGTAGCCTTTTGTTTAAAGTAATTAGAGTTCCCACAAATCAGCAACTTTGTACTCTGTGTCACATTTAATGAATAAGTCGTAGGTAACCAGAATGACAATCCAGTGTCTTCAATCCTCAAGAGGCAATCCTATATAGAGCATAGAGTGGTCATTTCTCTACACTGACTAGATTAACTTCTTAATACGTCAGAATTTTTTTTTTCAGTGACACTTTAGGGAAGGCCTCTTTGTCAGCTACTTAGACAGTGTATGGATTATAACTTGAAAGATTTAATTTTCCTTGACCTGTTATTTTCTTGTAATTATGTTTTTGACAAAGGCCATCTTAAAAGATAATTTCAACAAAGCCATCATATTTTATTAAAGCTCTGTATTTGGCTTAACAGGCCAATTACACAGCTATAGAATTTGGGGAGTAGAATAAGAGATGAAAACATTAAATAATTATTTCATGTGCAAGCACTAGGAAGATCTAATTTTATAATAATTCACATAAAATTATTTAGTACAGTATTAGTTACTTACAAGCTCAGTATAGGCCAAATTATGTGTTGGACTCACAAAAAAGTTTGCTCAATCTTAGAAATTAGGGACTGGAAGGAGGAAGGAGGCACTCATTTATTCATCCATTCATTCACTCACTCATTCACCATCTGTGTATTGTGCTAGAGTCTTGGAGATAGAACAAAGATTAAAGTAGTCCTGGTTCTGGTTTTGTGGCCCTTATAGTCTGTTGAGAATGACAGACAATTTAAAATTCATATTATTTGGGGTGACTCTTTATGTGCCAGTGATTTGAGTATTGGAGATGAACAGTTTTTAAAACAAAGTTCTTCTCTCAGTGACATTAGTTGGGAAGGAATACTAAACATGTTCAGATCATGAATTTTAGATTTTATGGAGGAAATTTTAGATTTTATGGGGAAAATTAAAATAGGATGATATTATCAAAGAGATCTCATGAGAGATCTAACATTTCCATAATGTGGGATTGCCACTTTAGAAAGAGCTGTCCTCATGAGATTCAAAGAAAGCATATCCTAGGGGTGTTAGTATGGGATGATTGAATAGGCCCACATGTATAAGGACATGGTAAGAAATTGGGTCTTATTTTAAGTACAAAGGGAAGTTACGAGAACATTCTAAAAGGAATGACAGATCTGATTTTTTTTTTTTTTAGAAACATTACTTCTGGCCATGTTGCATAATGTCTCACTTAGTTGAAGTTAGGGAAGCCAGTTAATTAATGAGTCCTACTCAGTAAACTAGACAAATAGTAATAGGGTCTCAAACCGCTTGAGGCTGGGTGGCGTGGGGTAGGAGGATGGAGCTAGGAGGAGAGATTTGCCAGGTAATACTTCTGTAGTCTTAGAGCATAAATTGATATTTTCTTGATATCTATTCATTTAGTTCTACTTTTTCTAGAAAATTTTCCTGGGTTTTCTAGGAAATACTCAATGTCCTCTATGGATAAGGATAATATTTCTTTAATGCATTTATTTCATTTCATTGCATGTTTTGTTGGCTGATATGTTTAGAACAATGTTAAATGATAATGTTAGTGGATGTTCTTGTTTTGTTTCTGGTTTTAATGGGAATATCTATAGTGTTTTAAGTTGGCCTTTTGAGTTAGATGTTCTTTATATAGAAAGGTAGTGTCTCTGTTTTTAACTCTTAAAGATTTTGAATTAGAAATCACTCTTGAATCTCATCAAATAGACTTTGGGGGCATTTATTTAAGATGATCATATAGTTTTTGTCATTTTGGTATGTTGATGACTTATATTATTAATGAATGTTGCAACATTAAACTATCTCTCCTAGAACCAGGTAGATTCATTTTTAAAAATTGTTTTTAAACAGTTCATTGTTTATTTGCATTTGTGTAGACTTGAATTATAAGGGTTTGAAATAGCTGATCTAATTAAAGACTCACTTTGTTTTCAAAATTTGAAATAATACACATACTAAGAGCACCCCCCCCCCAAAATAAAATCACCAAATTGCAAAATTTCAAAACGGGCAGTCTTATGTTGTAAGCTACTTAGGCTTTTGTCATATGCAGTGTCCCTTTCTCTGGTAAATAGACACACTATCATCCTTTGTTAGTGTTCTGGAATGCCCAGAGTTCTTTACTAGTACCACGCTGACAGTCTACTGACTGTTGTAACCTTCATGTTGGTCATGTTTTCTCTTGGGCACTCATTAAGTGTTAGTGTTAAACTAGTGTTGAAAACCATGTTCAAGTCTCAGTAATTCTGGGACCAAATTTAAATCTGATTGAGATTTAAACCACCACCATGAGTAAGGGTCCTCTTTGAAAAATTAGAACTAATGCCAGCAAAACAAAGACTAATATCAAAGAAAAACTATAGTACAGTGATAGCTGAAGTATGCCATCTAACCATGCATTCTCCCTAGGAATGCATTTCTCTTAAAATGTGACTGTCCTGTTGGTCTTTTAGAATTTGACTTACTTATCTATTATTTAGGGAAGTTTACATGTTTATATAGGTGAGATAGGTGTTTTGGGCTATTGTACAAATAATGACATTGGGATTTTGCTAGCTCTGCAAAGAAAATAGGAGGGTTGTATGTATTTTTCTGATTAAGCAGTTACAGCTGAGAGTGACTTGATCCAAGAAAGATTTAAAAAGTGTGTTTGTGAAATTTGAGTTCAGAGCCCTGTTTGGAAATGATTTCTCAGTAATTGTCAGTTTCATGATTACTAGTATGCTACCCATTTTTAAGTTTAAGCAACTTTATAAATTTTTAAATTTTGTTTTAAATTGTATTTCTCCTTTTGTTATTTGTTAAATTTTAGTAATTTGTACTCTTCCAGAATTTTTTTGTTTTTAAAAAAAGATTTAAAATAAGAGTTTTAATGGAAATCTCTTTTCAATTAATTATACTACTTTTAAGAAATTTGCTTTCTCTTAGTTCTGCCACATTTTTACTTCATTACTGTTGTTAAAGATATGCCTTTTTCCTTCAGAAAACTAAAGTTTTGATTTATCAGTGTGATTTTCATATAAAATACATTCATTTCTTATGTTATTTGCTTTTTCTCTAGATTTTTTTTCTCTTTTTATGTGATGCTTATTTTTTGTATGTATGCATGTGACTATGTTGAAGGCTTTTGAGTTTTCCCTAAGTTCGAAAATGTTAACATTCCAGCCATTTTTATATGTAGTAGCCTTGTTTTCTGAGTAGTTTATTGTTACGTTTTAAATTTTTGATTCAGCAATTAAGAATACTTAAAAATTTGTGTATGCTTGGCTTTTTTGTTTTTAAATTTTTTTGCCACTTGTAGGATTTTTACATTGTGGAAAAAAAAGCATGGTTATGTAATTTTTGCTTTTGCTTTTTAGAATTTAAGTTTTAGAACCTAGCATCCTTAAAACATATTCTATGGATGTTTTAAGTGAATGTGTATTCAGTTTGCTTGTGACAGAGGTGAATGTGTATTTATCATTAAATTTAATTATATTATTGAGATTTTAATTTTCTTTTTGGGTTATAAACATAGAATAATAGTGTTATTTCTCTCAATTTTGTCAAGAGCTTTGCTTTGTATATTTTGATACGGCTTAGTAAATAATACTTGTGTTATGTACAGTTTCTAAGAAAGATTTACTAAAGTTGCTTTTGTTCTGTTTTCTGCCTTGAATTTTACTTTCTTTGATAGTAAGAATATTTCTTTTCTTTTTGTTTATACTTGCTTGCTAAATTTCCTTATTTTTAACTTTTACATATACTTTTTTAGTTGTCTCTTAAATAGCAACAGATCTTGATATTTTATATGTCAACCCTTTTAGAGAGACTTTGCATTTTAATAGGGTCTAATCCATTTACTTTTATGTTAATTACTGGCTGGAGTCTGCTGTGATCATGTTTTATGTTTTCTCACTGATTTCTGTTTTCTAAATGGACTGTAATTTCCTGTCTTTAATTTTCTTAGTGATTTAGAAAATATACATCCTGTTTTAAACTTTGCAAATAATTATGGCACTATTTAGGATCCATTCAGGAGAAAGAAACCATAACAGGAATTGAACAAGGATGATCAGGATGAAGAATTATTAGCCGGTAATAGAGAATTAACTACTAAGAGAGGCAAAGAAATGTCTAAAGAATACAGTAAAAGGAGATGTAGGAAGCAACCACCACCTGTAGCCTGGGAGAGAACCTCAGGAAGGAACAGGTTTGGAAGAGCCCTTCCCCTCCCCACACACCTGAGACTTGCATCTCTTTGAAGAAGGTGTGGATGGAAAAGTTTGCTGAGGTGCCAACCAAGGACATTTGCTAGGAAGTCACTTGCTGGGGTGATAATGGCATTTGGGGGAAAACCGCTTGAGAGGGCACCTGCCAAACTCTGGAGGGCAATGCTACTGGGTGTTCCGCACAGAGAATCCTCCCCACAGAGAATCACAGTGGAGAATCCTCATGCTGGCAAGGAAGCCACGTGCAGACGGGAAGAGCGCAAGAACCAGGAGAAGCAAAGCCTCTTCCACTTGTGTTCCTCAGTGCTTACAGTGTGTCCACTGGCACTGTGGTGGGCATGTCCCCCAAGAGTTCACGTGTGGAAACCTAATTCCCATTACAGTACTGTCAAGAGTGTAACTTTGGAGAGATGATCGGATCTGCCCTCATGAATGGATTAATGCTGTTTTTAAAGGAGTGGGGTCATGTGAACAAGGATGCCTTTGGCCTCCTTCTCTCATGCATATGCTCTCTTGCCCTTTTATCTTCTACCATGGTATGTGACCAGTAAGAAGACCCTTGCCAGGTGTGGGCACCTTGACCTTGTACTTCCTGGCCTCCACAACTGTAAGAAATACATTTCTGTTCTTCATAAATTACCCCATGTTGGGTGTTCTGTTAAAGCAGCACAAAACAGACTTCTGTTGCAAAAATATTTCTAAGTTACAACTCCAGTATCACAAAACAGAGGATAAGGATGAATCTTGAGCTGGCACAATGACCATTATCTTACATAACCACTCTCTAGCCTGAAGTGTCTTTTGACTTTTGAATGGTTTGAAAATATACCTTAGATGATTTCAATCCTTTAAAATTGGTTGAAACTGTTTTATGGTCCAACATGT